TACCCATATGACCCATCTAACAAGACTAATTACAAAGTTTTTACATTTAAGTCTGTAGAACGTAACGTAGGAAACCATTTTGATCCAAACACTGGAGAGTTTACCGCCCCTGTTGATGGCCTGTATAGAGCAAGTCTTACAATAAGACAAACCGGAATACTTGGTCTATATGCTTCGTTACTTCTCAAATCTGGTGGTGAAGTGTCAACGCCCGGTATTATTGAGACTAGAGTACGTTATCGTGATTATTTAACAACAATTGAGGTTTGTATGAAACCTGGAGATGTGTTATCTTCAATATCTTCCTCTACGCATTGGGAATGTAAACATTTTACTTGTGCTCTTCTTGTTGTCTAACTTCCATACATTACAACACAATCTTCATTCCAAGCAGAAATCTTATTATTATTGTAATGTTAACAAGTGTTACATTTTTTATTTATTAATATTGACTAAATTTGGAACTTATATGCAATATATAAGTTAATGAGGATCTTTAAAAAAAAATATTTGATACAAACGAAGGTGAAATGTTTATAATGTTAATATAAGGAAACCATATAACATGCCCATAAACAAAATAAACAGTAATATTAATCCAACATAGTTTGCTTTTATTTTTTATTTTAAAAACCAGCTTATCTACTTTTGATTGGCGTATATGACAAATCACTGACGTTGTCTTTTAATAAATATGGTCCTGTTTAACATTATCTCATTAAAAATGTAAATTTAGAACCAACAATAGCCATGAGTGTATATATTCAACAATAAGTCGTCATTTTTATTCGGATTTAAATATAAACAGTTGAAAATCAACATACTCGTATTTCGCCACAGTATGGGAACTCTGCGGTGTACTTTTTGGAGGATGGAAAATGTAAGTATGACAAAAAAGAAAAAACGATTATTGGAAATTCTCGTGAAAGTAAATATGAATTTCACAAAACTAGATATCAAAATGAATTAAATGTAATAGGTAAAAGAAGGGGAAATTAAAAAAAAAACAGCATTGCAACCCGCACGACATTAACAACGACAAGCCAAACCCGACACCACCCGTCCCACACTCCAACTTTTGCCCTTCTCCTACCAACACATCACATTACATAGCCTAACATAGCCTAATCCAAACCTCACCCCACTAACCCTACAATATACACCCGATCACTCTTACACACGATTCACCACACATACAAAGCAAAAGACGGAATAGATTAAAAAAAAAAACCACAGCCTCGCACACCACATTATGTATAAAAAAGATTATACCCTACAACGTACATTAAAACCCACTCTACTGCCCACATCTCACACACCTTATCACACGATGCACACCTAACCACTTATCCCACACCATTCCCAATACACCACAGCCTATTCCACTACACACATAGACCAAACCCCAATCTACTTACCCCACACTCACAACAATCAACAAACCAACCATCACAGCACATGAATAGAACTCCGAACAAACCCAACATTATCCCACACCAAACCTCATTATTCTAGCCACACCACAACATATCCCAAACTTAAGCAACAAAACACCCAAATACCCCAAATCAACACACAATCATTGATCTTACACGGTATTTTGAGAAAGAAAAAGTGATTGATAGGCAACAATAAATTATGAGATTTCTATGAAAGGAATAAGAGCCACAATTGAGTTTAAAGAACCCTACATATTTTTAAAGGAGACGAAAAGTGGGTTTCAAACCTTCTATTTATTTTAACTTTTTTGTTTTTCAAAACATTAATTATCTTTTTGCATATTCCGTTATGTCTGATGTTTAATACTTAATCTTTTTTATTTTTTTTATCTGCTATCGCTTTGTCTGTGAGGATAGTTTTAACTGATATGTGCTTGAATCCAGAAATATTTCACCTTTAACTGACATGTTTTACTTGTATCTATAAAGCAGAAAAAATAGCTACGCGTACACAACTATTAATTATAATTATATAGTGAATGAATGTTAGAAATTACAGAGAAAGTTGTCAGGTGAAAATAGTAGCGAGTTATTGGTCAAGTGTGAATTAACTAGTCAAAACAATGGCTAGCCTTGACCAATCAAGGTGAGTCACGTGACTGTAGACACGAGAGGTCAGATTTAGATGAAAGTGCCAGTCAGTCGAAGAAAAGTTATTGAATAAGTCAACAATTGAGAGAATTAGAATGTAAGGAGAATAAAGCATAGCCAGTCTCGGAAGTTAGTGTAAACAAATCATCATATAAAGACTAGATCAGCAGTTAATTGGCTAAAGTGGAATTAGTTGAATGGATAGAGAAGTGGAGACATAGTAATAGAAGTCGGTGTAGTGCAGTTTATAAGAAGATGTATGTGTAGGAAACTAATAAACATAGCGGAGATAATTAAATGTATGTGGGTGTTTTGATTATACTTATAATCCAATCTCTTCATAATGTTTCGATTGTCACACGTAAAATGTGTAAGTAACCCAAGGTCTATGCTGATGTCACTATCTTATTACCTCGAGGGTAGATGCTGTTTGTTTAAATTTTTGTATGACTTCAATACTAATTATAGATCTAATGTAGTCCAACTAAGGTGCTAAGATTTCTTCACGTTCGCCACGCCCACATACGATGTCTGTTGAAAATGTGTTGTTTATGACGCGAATATTGAGTGACTAACATTTCTTTAATATGTTCTGTAAAACTGTTTGATTAGAATAAAAACAGTTTAATCTCACTTTGCAAATAGAAAAATAAAACAAAATGAAATAGTGTTTAAATTAAGTAGAAATGTAAAAATTTACAGCGGTATTTAACACACGTCCCGGTAAGAAATTAACCGCGTGTTGGATAGAAAAGGGAAGCTACCTAAAATTCTTGTTCGACGGATATATTTAATTGTTGTCTCCCTTGGACCAGTCTTCTAATGATCTCCAAGATCGAGTCCCCTGTTAAGCTGTGGTTCAAGTCTGTCTCTGTCACTCAGCTGTCTACAGTTGTTAATGAATTTGTTTAGAGAGTTTGTGCCATCTGGTTGTTGGTATGTCCCCTCTTTGACCTGCTCTGTCTTCCATTGATGTGTTGGGAGAGGGGGCGAGTGTGGTGGTGGTGGTGGACGTTAGATTTCCCCTAGACTTGTGATGCTTCTCTCGCGATTTTAATTTATAATTGATTATGTAAAAAATGTATTACGTCCACTTTTAACATCACCCAGTATAGTTTAATGTCCAGCTTTTAGGTAAATGATATTTTGTCAAGCAATATTATCTGTCGTGTTTATATTCAAGGGGGGAGTTTGGTATATATAGTCAGCCATTATTTTGTAACATTTTTGTGCTAGTCTTCCATGTTTTAGCTCAGCCCTGAACTTGACCAACATATTCGCGTAATTCTGTATGAAAAGTGACCCCCACGCTCTGTCAATGGCAATGTTATATCTTTGTAAGACACGTCTAACCGTTTGATCTTATACGTCATACTTGCCACCAGACTGTAACCTACACTTCTGCTAGTGACGTGTGCTCTCTGCAGTGTCAACAACATCCTCAGTTGGAGTGGGTGGGGGGAGGTTAGAGGACACCAAGTCCGACTATTAAAAAATATTTTTAAAAACTCGTGGAACATGTATGAATACAATAATTTTACGTTATTAATTAAAGCGTAAAAACAGACCCAAACCTTATATATATTTTTACGCTTTAATTACACACCAAATACTTTAGTTGATTTAGTTACTAAAACTAAAATAACACATTGATCCCTTAAAAAGACGCCACAATGTTCATACTTTCTTAATTTTAGAAAAGAAATTTTTTTTTGGTAGTCTTAACGTTTAGAAGGTTGCCTGTGAGCAATAATTGACGTGTTTTATCGTTAGCGTTACAGACGTATGTCCAGCTATCGCAGACCTAAAAAAAACCAATAGATCTACAATACAATACGTGGAAAGTAACTGGACGGTAACACTATTATGCCTCCATCTTGGTTACAACCCTGACGATCTGCCTGCATTATTTCCTCCATCCCGGACCTTATCTAGGATATCGCAGTCCGGCTCAACGGACATGCGTAAATTGTTAGATAAGCCACGTTCATTGCTTCTCTTTCTATACCAGAGGCGTAGCGACCCTTTCCGGCGCCCGGGGACAAACTTTTCGATTTGCCCCCCCCCCCTCAAGATTTCGATTTACACCCCCCCCCCTCAAACTTTCAATTTTCACACCCCTCAACCTTTCAATTTATTTTTCCAACCCATTTTGGCGCCCCCTAAGGTCGGCGCCCGGGGACATATGTCCCCCCCGCCCCCCCCCCCCCCCCCCGTCGCTACGCTACTGTTCTATACCAATCAAATCGATTATTTAAACCTTCATATATGTGTGAAATATCTTTAATTGATAGTATACAAATCAACTTCTATTATTTCCTTTGTTTATAATCATCCACATTGATAAAATGGCTATTTATATAGAAAAACAAATATCTCTGCTACTTCTATCCCCCATATGTGACGTCAACTATCAACTTCCGTGTTTGAGTTTCCTCCCCTCGATGGGTTGTTGTCCCTAGCTAACGGCCCTCATATGCCAGGGGTTCCGCACTTAAGACTTTTGGGTTAGCGCTACTGCTCTTTCCCATCTGACCACTCCATAACCAAAATTTGTTTGTAAACTAACTGTTGTGTGATTTAATAAAGTAATATACAGAGATAAAACTGTTGAAAATTAATTAAGTAAAACAATTCTTTTCTGATTCATATAGTTTTTACCTCATTTTTTTTCTTATTAAAATGTATCTTATAATCTTTTTAACATGTAAGCGAAATGATGTGAATATACCTAATCACACATAATAATATACTACTTTTAATTTATCAAAATACGTCATTCATTAATACGTTATATTATCTAGTCTATAACAATCTGATTATTATTTTTAAAAAATGTTACCAAAGTTGGATCAAGTTTAATTAAAGTCTTTCTGATAAAGACGAAGAAACAACATACACTGTTTACTATTAGTCGTCAAAAAGGGAACAAGAAAAATGTGTACATTCCAAATCCTTATAGCCAGTGGCTGAATATAAAACATCTCCACTTTTCATCAGAACCTCAAATGTTCTTGAAGCTTCCACAGATTGATCTTGTGTATTAACACCACCGAGCCTTGACATCTTACCACCTGATTTGTGTAAAACCCAAGCTGTTATAGCATGATCTCCAGTCTGTTTTATTGTAATACTTGCTTTATACAGGCCATGAACAGGGGCTGTAAACACTCCAGTGTTTGGATCAAAATGGTTTCCTACGTTACGTTCTACAGCACTGAATGTAAAAACTTGGTGTCTGTCATACACTTTCTCTTCGCAGCGACCCTGTGAAGCAATAAACCCCGGTGTTGAATGTTTCACTTGTTGATTGGCTGCAAGAAATAAAATACAATTAGGTATCTACACAATGCCAAATAAGCTGTACAAACAATGTACAATGAACCTAATTTCAAAACACTTGTTTGCTGTAATTAGGCCAAATTTTTACGTTAGCACTGCGACGAATCAAGCAACGCAGTCTTTAGAAATACATTTATAAATTATAAGAAAATTATATTTTCCAAGTAGATTGTTAAAGAAACAGAATGACATTTGTATATTGAACGCACGTAACCCACACAAGACACCACATCATACACGTTATGGGCCAATCATTTGTTAAGGATGTTTCGATCATTAAAAGGGTAGGCTCAGCTCTAAACAGAATACTTTTATTTTATTATTCTTGTACTATTGACTATCATTGGTTGACAATTGTTTTAAGTGGGTTGTTTCCCTTTCTAAAGTAATCAAACAAGGCTAGCAATGTACATCACTAATATTGGCCGATAGATAAAAATGTCTTGCAATAGTAACAATACGAAATTACATGTAACAATCATTATGACAATAACATAATTCTATTTAAAACAAGACCATAAGCAAATAACTTTAACTGTCTAATCTGTGAGGTAGCTAGAAAAAAGGGCCACCCCGCAGAAACATATTTCTGAGAACCCCCCCCCTTTTTTTTATATCACAATGGCTTAAAAACAAAGGGAAAGAGAATATACAAGATCAAGTAAAAAATGCAAGAAAACTAATTTTTTTTAAACTATAAAAATTGATTATGGTCGGCTGTTGGCCACCTAAATGGCGTTATTACACAAACATGCCATATAAACATATATATGTCACATTAACATATATAATAAACATTGTGATTGAGTTTCGGTAAATAAAAAACAATTTTAATTAGTATTTCATGATTATATTGTATATTTATATTGAAGAGAAACAACCTACCAATTGATTGAAAATCATTTGACAGCTTTAAAACTTCTATTTCCAGATTTGCAATCTAAAAACAGAATAACATTTACAAAATATACTAAGTGTTGCAAACTATGAACATCAAAATAAAGAGAATACGTCTCAATCCATCACACATTTTTTAAACAAGGCCAACAGCAAGACGATAAACACACGTGGCAGCACTGATATATGGGGAAACTAAAACTTACATTGTAAATTTTTTACTAAAAAATAATATATTTTATTTGATATTTAAAAATAGTTTGGTAACTTATTTATTAAAATAGTGAAATAAAAAATCAAGATACAATAAATGAGCACTTTTTAAAAATCATATGAAGTATATTATTATGCTACCCAAGTTTAATATTAAAATTGGGTTTAGCTAAAAACATTTGAGTTTATTTACCTTCTTCATTTTCCCTTCCCTAGCCTCAGAGTTTTGATTATATGTTTCAAATATTTTGTCAATTGGCATCAATCTTTGTTGTAGAAGTTTACACATCACAACATGCTAAATAGAAGAAATGTAAAAGTACATTGTTAATAAATGTATTAATAAATGGTTGATATAAATAAAACACACTAAAATATTTGCAGAAATTTTACTAACTATAAAATGATTTTTATTTGATATAAAATACAAGTAAAGAGTGACTATGGTAGTGTTTAACCAACACTATTGTAAATAACCAGCAGGCAGACCTCGACTTTGACGGACAGATGGTAGAGACATACATACAATAGTACAGAGATCAGATGTGGAAAACAAAATAAACAGATAATTTTATACTGGAGGAGGTGGTAAAGCAGACCAACGTCATTAGAGGCTGGAGAGCCACAAGGGTGTATGTGTAAACATAAAATTTAGTTTAATGTTACAAATGAGTTCTAAGTATTATATAGGTATAGACAATAAAAATACAAAGCCTATATAGCTTCTTATAAAACTTAAGCTGAATGTATTGATGTAAATATTACTTTAAAATGTACCTTAGAGAGCAATTTATCAAATGTTTTTGTTGTATCTTCCTGTATAGCAGATATCAAATCAGAATGTCTTTTAATTTCTTGTGTTATATGATCTGTTTTATCTGTGTAAACTCTCATCTCTTTATTTAGTGTGTGCAGGTTGTTTTCATATTCTTTCATATCTAGAGAAAGTTTCTCAAGTGTTTTGTCTGTGTCTGATTCTTTTGTTTTTAAACTTTCAATTTGTTTGGTCAGATCTTCTATTTTGTTATCTTGTTCTTTTAACTGTTTTCTTAAGTTTTTAAAATTCTGTTTTTGTTTCTTAGACAAATTTTCAACTGTTATCCCCAAGTCACTATGTTCTGTTACAAAGTTGTCTCTCCATTGTTTTATTTCTGATATGTCATCTTCAGTCTTTTGTTTTGAGTCTTGAAGGGATGATAAAGCTGTTTCAATATCTTTTAGTCTTGTTATTGTTTCCGTATAACCTTAAATAGTAAGGATAAAGTGTGATAACAATTATAAAAGTATATTCGGATGTTATAAAGATATATAATTTAAATGGATGTAGGAAGATCAATATGTTTGATCAGTTTTAATGTATAATGTTAAAACACTATATAAGTGGTTGCGTAAAGAAATATATGTTTAATTTATTATCAAATACTGTAAAAACATAATATATTATTTTTTTTGTTCGATTTTAATTGAATGTTTATTTGTGGTGTGGTAAATATTGATAATTACATAAAAAATTCTGACCAGACATAGACACTGTAGAAACATATTGAGCACCTTCTGGAATAAAACTTTTACTTTCTGTTGTTGTCTTGTCTCCTGTCATCACAGTGGAAGGATAATAAAGCTTGGTGGTTTCTGTCAACATAATATTATATAAATGTGATGGAAAGTAATTTCTATTGTCAAAAGTTTACTTTGTAAGCTGCAGCAGTTTTAGAGAAAAATTGAAGGCACAATAGTATGGATAAATCAAGTTTCAAATATGAAATTTTATATATATATATAGGTTTAATCTCACCCTATATATATAGCCTCCCCCTATATATAATAATATATATATATATATATATATATATACATTTATATACATATATATATATATATATATATATATATATATATATATATATATATATATATATATATATATATATATATATAAGATCGATATAAATTTATTTCACCAAATAATTAATGTATGAAGGCATTAACTACATGAATAACCATAGACATAAATATCACCATACCATTCATCATATTCACATGTTCAAATATTATACTCTGTGCTGTAGCTACCATAACAAGCGCATCTTTCACTGTCATATTGGTGTCAGTAGTGTTGTCTATATATTCCATTGCTTTTTTTGTAACCTGTAAAGTTAAGTTTATTTTATTAATATTTGAGCGGAATAATTTTTAACTTTAATATATACAAATATAAATAAATAATTCCTTAATAACATTATAAGCATGGCATTGAAATAAACTACATTGCCGGCAGTGTTCTTCTAGATTTTTTCTCTGATGGTTGAGGGGAGGGGGGGGGGGGGAGGAGCTCTTGAAATATTTTTTTTTTGGGGGGGAGGACTAAAATTATCAGGGGCGGACACTGTTAAAACTGTTAAAAGAATATATCTTTAATATAAATTCCATTTCGCTTGAGGAGCGGTAGACTTTCTTAAGTTCAAAGAACTGAATGATATATTTAAAAAAAATAAAACTTAAAACTATTATTTATCTATAAATAATATTTTATAATAGATGTTTGATTAGATTATACATTTCACTGTTAATCTTGCTTAAATAGAACAGACTATTAAAACTACATGATATGTTCATTATGCATTTGTATTTACCTGTTTTATAAAACTGCTGATGCTACTCTGTAGATCTAAGCTTGATTCATTCAATAACCCAAGCTGGTTATTTAAATGTTTCTTTAATTTGTCAGACATCTGCAAAATGTTATTAAAATTGTTACTTAGTGTCTACAAAGGTTTTAAAATCTCCACCAAGATTGAAATCTATAAAGTTGATTATATTATTAACTTAGTTTTAGCATTAGAAGTAAATTTTTGTAAGATCTATTCAATATAAAATATATAAAATATTATTGGCTAATAATAAAGTGAAACTGAAACCTTCTAAAACACTGTTCAGTAAAATTTAAATCGTAAAATATATAATATATAGTTATAGTTATTATATAGCCAACATGTACATTGTTAACAGACGTTATATTTTATGTTAAGACATAAAGTATATGTCTCTACACATCATTCTAACCTTTAAGATTATAATAATAAATATTTAAGAATCACTACAGTTAAATGTTGAGTTTAGAGTTCCTTTAAGCTGCCCACACATAATATCGGGAAAATCCAATAGTTAAAAACAACTTAAATCGAATTTTATGTTACAGCGAAATATTTTTAGAATATTAACAGAAAAGTAAAAATATGTTGTGTAACACGAAATAAATAGATGCAGGGTGAATCTTTTTATTCAATCTCTATTTTTGTATTTATTTTTAACTATTTAAATTTCAAAGGTAACAAACAAACGGGTTGTTCTCGCAATATCTATAATCTCTAAATCAGTGGTACTTAAACTTTGTGGAGGTATTGAAACCCACCAGCTTCATTATCGCATTCATATAATCCTTCTTAATAGGAAAAATATTTTATGATTAGTTTTTCAAATTCAAAGAATAGGTTTCATTAATAGTGCATGTCATATAAGCCTACATCACTGAGTTGAAAGAACCAAACGATTAAAGTCTGTTTTTCACACACATACGGAAACAGACACAACTTAAGAGTCGGTTAACAGACAGTGTTTATTTAAAGCAGTGACTTTTAATATTCATTCTTTTTAATTGTTTTACATAATATAATTATTGTATTATTTATAACAACCTTTACAAACAATTATTTAAAAATTAAGTTTGTTTATTCTTGTTGATTATGTTGCAAGTAGCAATCCATTTGAAAATAACATTTTACAGATGAAGCATCACATTTTTGATGTTGTTAGTAAATGTTCGAAATATATTACACTTTCTGTACCAAAATAATCAACTGAAAACAAAACACTATATAAGTTTTTCAATATTAACTGTGGGGAATAGTTTGAGAGCACAGAACGTGCCATATAGAAAGCACGGAAAGCGGATGGGCACAGTGTTGACCACATTAGTCATTCATGAGGTCACGTAAACAGGAGAACTCTACTTAATCTGCAACGTGGCACATCAGGTCAAATGAAACTTTACTTTTTAACAAGTAAACTTAGTATAATAACATCTAAACACGGACAAATTCTAATCAGGTACTGTGAGTAAACAAAAAACATTAATCATGACGTATCCTATAAACTAGAGACATGTCAGTGCGACTTCTTTTACTGTAACAACGTAGAAAATTTTAACGTTGTTAACTATAACGTTAACATGAGACGCAGGGAGCTACAAATGATCAGATCAATAGCATCTCACACACTGGTTTAAGGGAGACAACAGTTAAAATTATAATTATGCAGTAGTGTTGGGTAGTATTCCCTAGTATAAAATAGAATTGCACACATGAACAATTCCTCTTAAGGACTTCTGTACCACTGTAAATGTATGCCTGATTTTCTAGTGTATTTTTAATGTCACGTTGATGCGAACATCTTTGTTCTAAATAAATGTAAATAATCATTCACTCAGTTTTATTTTGTATTTTGTTTTACGGAAGATTAGACTGTTTAAAGGATCATTTGAGGTCAGGTTAGAATAGGGTAGAATAGTCTCGAACTCAGAGGAGAGTGCGTGTGTGAGTTGAGTTCACCCTACTGTGTAGTAACCCCGGTGTGTTTATGTATTGTTATCCCAATGTCGAATGTGGGTATAAAAGCGCGCGTGAACGATTGTGGTGAGTCAGCGGTTAGTTGACGAGGGCTACGCTTGAATGTAATATTTGAGACGGAATAAAAGTAGTGAACATAGTCACGAAGAGTGGTGACCAGTATGAAACAAGTAGATGCACAGACGGGATGCTGTCCTGACGTTTGCCTGATGCTGTCCTGACGTTTGCCCGATGCTGTCCTGACGTTTGCCTGATGCTGTGTCTTGACATTTGCCGGATGCTGTCCTTACTTTTTAAGCTGTTTATATTTTAATCCAGTTAAAATTGACGACTTACTTTTGCGTTGAAATATTTTGTTTCTTAGTTTTTAATTTACATTTTTGATGAGCGAATTTATACAGACAACGTCAGTATTCTAACTGTCAAATACGCTAATCAATAAAACAATGATAATTTTTTCTTTAAAGGTAACCTTATTTATTGCACAAGTAGATACATTTGTTGTTAAAATAATACATAAAGGTAAACTATTTAGGTTTAATATTACTTTTATTTTGTTTATGGGCATTTTATATGTTTTCGTTAGATTAGCAACGTATAAAATATTCGCCCTTCGGAAGAGAAAATAAGTCCGATCTCGCGTGTATCTGTATCGAATATCTAAGATAATTAT